CCGTGGTCATGTGGCCGGCATGACTCAACGCCAAAGGCGCACGGAACGCTCTTACCTTCCCACCACTATTTTTCTACTTGCATTTTTTACCTGCTTTCGAACTGCTAGGTTGGCAGAAGCTGGGACAAGTCACGGGAGCTCACCCCGTTACGCAGCACTAGGGATTTGTCTCTTTACTGATACATAAACGAAGCATGCTTACCTGCGTGGCAGTATATGTTACATGTTTTTTTTTTCCTTTGCAGTCTGTTCTCCCTACATCAGTCTATAGTTGTCTTTCCTATGCTTCCTTTCATGTTTTTAATTTGCCCACTTCCCAGAAGGTTAAAAGGGATATTTTAGATTACAGGTAGTCCTCAACTTAGGACCCCAATTGAGTCCAACATTTATGTTGGTAAGTGTGACATTCTTTAAGTGAGTTTGCCCCCTTTTACGACTGTTCTTACCACAGTTGTTAAGAGAATCTAGCTTCCCTATGGACTTTGCTTGTCAGAAAGTCGCAAAAGGAGATTATGTCACACAGACATGGACACTGCAACTGTCATAAATGGGAGTCAGTTGCCAAGCGTCTGAATTTTGATCACATGGCCACAGGGATGCTACAGTGGTCGTAAGTGTGAAAAACAGTCATAAGTCGCTTTTTTCAGTGCCTTTGTAACTTTGAACGGTCATTAAACGGACTGTCGTAAGTGGAGAACTACCTGTAGTTTGAGCAAAGGAGTTCAGTTTAAGTCCTACACGTTCAGATAAAGTCAGCGCATAATTTATTTTAAAGATAATTTGTCAACGTTCACATTGAACAAAATAATAGCTAACTTACATAATGTTTATCTTGTATATACATTATATTGTGTATAAGGCACAGTGTATCAAATCCAGCAACTTAACTATAACTACCTCACAATATTCAAATGGCCCGCCTCTTAACTAATATATTTTTCCCAGAGTCTACCTCACTTGGAGGAGGAGAAAACTATTATTATTACTATTATTACTATTATTAACGTCTAAGTCCTCTCGGCCAGCTCTCGGTGGGCGCTCCCTAGTGGTTGCAAGGGGTATGCTTTTATGTAACTATAACTTATTTCAGATCAGAATTGACTGCAATAATGAAAGGAGTGTCCACACTAAAACCTTACAGAATACCTCCAGCGAAGCTAGCCGGCTGCGGACGGGTAAGGATCGTAACCAGAAGAAAGAAAAATCGGACAGCGGAGAAACTCAGCAACCGTTGGTGAATGGCGTGCCCTAAACTGCATAGCTCGAGAAGTCGTATTTCCTAAACTGTTCCAGTAAATCTTATTCCACATTAGAGAAACTTGTTAGGCCAAAGACAAATAGTAGGCAAGAGGGCGGCAGGGCATGAAATATTAAACAAAAAACAAAAAACAAAAAAAAAAAGTTCTGTTAGCCTTTTTTTAACATCAGCAGTATGCAGTTTTCTTTTTTCAAAATAAGACATTATACTTGCATTAAAATACCTTGAACTTCTGAAAAAAACAAAAACAAAATGCTTTCAAGTACATATTGCACTTCAAACAATGAAAGAATTCCTTTTGTTTGTTTTTTTTTTAAAAAAAAATACTGAACTGTGCATTGGTATTTCTGTTCAGTTGTACCATTTTAACGCATCTGGTCAAAAATCACTGCTAAATTTCAATTTTCAGAATAAATAGTGTTTGCGGTAATCAAATTGGGCTTCTGTTTTCAATCTATTAAAACCTCCTCATTTAAAATAGACAAATAAATAAAAAGTAAAATTGACGCTATTGCTTTTATGTCCTGTGTCAGTTCACACACACTTTTCGGTTCGCGTTTTTTTCCCACCCCCCCCCCCCCCGCCCCAGTATTTCGGTGAACCCGGATTCTCTGTGTAACGTAACTAAATTGTCATTTTCATTAGCAAAAAAAAAAAAAAAAGTTGTATGGTATGTGCCTTTTTTATATCTTGGCAGGTAGGAATATTCTCTTTGGAAGCAGAAATCAGGGAAGATTTGTTGGAAATGCTGAACTCTTGTTTAACGTTCAGGTGTTAGACCTGCTCAGGGCGCAGGAATCCTTCTTAAGAGCTTGGCTCCAGGTCTTTACAGGTACCTGCCCCACCTTCTCAGCGCCCAGTTTCTCTGGGTTGAGCAGGGAGACCTGAACTGGGTCACCTCACCTGGAAGAGCCCGTGGTGGGTTCCCACCTTGTACCCTCTTTCAGGCAGAAACATCCGAATAGGAACTTTAAATGTACAATATATATGTAGCAAAACCTCTCCAACAGTTAGTACTTTATTAGAAGAATGCATGCTTTCCATAATTTGTTTTCCTCGCATCAACATCGTTAGGCTGTTTATAAGATAGAAACCTATTTTGCACTGAAGATAATGGCAGATCATGTTACTGAAGTGGTGGCTTTCTCTCCCCTCTCCCCCCCCTTCATTTGTTTGTTTTATGTTTCCCCCTTTTTAGTCAGGACAGAGTTTGGGGTTTTGTTTTGTTTTTTAAAAAAATGCATACTCCCAATTGTGACAATACAGTTAATGGTTACCAAGGGAACAAACAAGAACTTGTTTATAATGTGTGCCAGCTCTGTGGCCAGAGGACCAATTTAAAAGAATAAGGGTTTTTTGTTGTTGTTGTTGTCATTGTTATTCACTTCCCCTACAGTTTTGATATTTAAATTCAGGTGGGATAGGAAGATGATGGTGTTTTACGCGGCTGTTCGTAAAATTCAGGGATATACTGTACTTTGACAGCATTGGATATAGATCAATTTTTAAGGTCTCGTTCACAAAGTAGTTTAAAAAAACTTGTAATCGAAGTTGGTGTAAGGTTTAGTCGTCCATAATTGGGGATGAGGCATGCTTTCTATTTCCGATCATGAATGAAATTTACATGCAAAAATAAAACACAGTAGGACATTTCATTTTAAGCTATTCTGTTTTTATTAAAATTTAACTCCAGTGGGAGTGTTGCTGATTGTGTACAGAATTGTACAAACTGCAGCCCCAGTCTGTGTTTTGTTTGTTTCTGTGCTTTTTCATTTTACCTTTTTTTTTTACTTTGCGTACAAGCAAGCATATAAAAATGGCAACAAACTGCACACAACTTAACGAATATTAAAAAAAGTCTTAAATATTGCCAAACATTAAATGTTGATTTCTAATTATTTATTTTGGGGGAATGTATAGTATTTGAAAACTGAAATTGGTACCTTGCACACATCATCTGTAAGCTGTTTGGTTTAAAATACTGTAGATAATTAACCAAGGTAGAATGACCTTGTAATGTAACTGCTCTTGGGCAATATTCTCTGTACATATTAGCTACAACAGATTGGATTTTATGTTGACATTTGTTTGGTTATAGTGCAATATATTTTGTATGCAAGCAGTTTCAATAAAGTTGGATCTTCCTCTGCTAATGGATGTTGATGCAATCTTTATAAATGATTGCTTTAAACAAATCAACTTGAAGCAGGAACCTGTTTTTTTTTTTCTTGTGTTGAAATTGGAAACATTGTTTATTCCAGAAGTGTGAAAACTGAAATATTTTCAATTTCAAGAAAGGGGCTACTGGTCAAAACGTACATGTTTGCTATTATATGCACTAATTTTACACTCGAGACTGACTTCAGTAAGGTGCTAACTAGATTTGACTTAACTAAAACTGTTAACAGATTAATCACCATTTTCAAATGACATTTTTGCAGTATTTTTGTGCTTTAAATGTGTATCCCTTTCAATTTAAAAAATTCGCTGTTTTTAAGTATTGGTACATTTTAAAAACAAATTGTAAATCCAAATGTAAGACTCATTTTGAGAATCATGCGTGTTACAAAGGTTTGAAAGTGCAGCAAATGTCTGATGTTTGGGCTCACTTCCTTAATGGTAACCTCACATATGGTCTAATAAATTACAATTATTTTGAAAACAAAAAAAAAATAAAAGTTTTTTTTAAAGATTGAAAGATATCTTTGAATGGCCACAAGATTCAAGTAAAATACAAATTGGACATCTCACTTTTCCAGGCACACAACTGAATTGGCTGGTTTGTTTTCCTTCTTTTCACTAGCACTAGAGAAAAGATAATTGTGAGGAGGAAAAAAAAGGGGTGACCATATTGTGATTGTGCTAATTTGTTCAAGTTTGGAACACGACATCAGTAAGCATATTCTACACCAAAATAAGATAATTGTGCTAATTGTGTCGGTGACTGGTAATTTCAAGTAGGCTCTACGACCAATAGAATGGTTATCAATAGTATCTATAGCCATTTCCTACTCCGCCGAGTATCACCCAACAGCTATAAAGCCTGACTTTAATAGTGGCTTAGCATTGTTTGAATGATGCTGTAAGATGGAACCAGTGAAGAAGTGGCCTCTCGTCTCCTTGTTTAAAATGTTTGCAGACTTGAAAGGCCGCAGAGAAGAAATCCATGCAAATTCAGGGTCTTCCATCTTCTTTTAAGAACCTCCTGTTGGGAATTTTGACGGGCCTTCTGAATTGTTTGTTACACTTGACATTTCAAAGGAAATTTTTAGAATTGCCATTCTGTTGTATATCTCAATCATCCAGGTCATGGGTGTCCCAAAGATGCTTTTTCCAAAAGGCAGCTGTTTCCTTCTTGGGATTTTCTCAAAACAACCAAGAAAGTCCCAATTGCCTTTTGGAAAAACACCTTTGGGACAACCCTCTTTGTAGTCCCTCTAGAGTATTCCAGTTGTTCCTTTTACTTAGTTTGTACTTCTTTTTCTTTGTATTTACGTTGCCTTCTGAGGACTGAACGCCTAATCGGTGTTTCCTTCCAAAATGAAGGGTGCTAACCCTACGGGACCAAACAAATTCCCTTGTAGCTTTCCCTAACCAGTTGTCTCCCAGGTATGCCTGCTTCGAATTTCCCATCGGTCAGAAATTGTGCTCTGACCCATTCAGAACTGGGCTTCAGCTTGTCCCAGGTCGTCCTATGACAACCCCAACACTTTCAGCCCCTCCTTTCCCAGGGAGTAAGTCACAATAGGGATCCCCATAGTGACGGATCCTCCATAGCTCCCCTATGCATCTTTTATTATAAGTGCTGGCTTTTTAAATGGTGATCTCCTTCGAAATCTTGAATTAAGGTAGGCTTTTGTTCTTCGTTTCCTTGTTAACTTTGTACCTTGGAAAATAATTTCCAAGTCGTAATTGATGAGTGCCAAAGTCCCCACCACAGGTTTAATATGACCTGGCATTACAACCCTTGTCTGTAGGAATTGTAGAACCTTTAAGTTACCTAGAAGCTACTCAAGGCTCTATATTGTTGGGGAATTGATAGTATGGCTACCCAACTCCATCTGTCGTAGAACAGAAAAACAAGAAATTGATTCTTTGGGTCAAGAATCCCAGTTCCTTTGTGATACTAAAAATCTTAACTCCTGTTGTGTCTTTTTATTTCCTACCTATAATGCATGTTTGCGGGATGGGGATGTTTTGCTGTCATTTCAGGAATGATACCAATAATGAGGCTTGTGCTCCAGCTTTTAGCCAAATATTTGTGTGTATTATTTCATGCAGTCAATCCAAGTGAGTATTACAAAGCGGACTTTGTAAGCAAAACTTAATGAATTTGGTCACCCGTTGCTTATATGAAGCCTCTCCGTCTTCAGGCGCCCCCAATTTAATCCCAGAGTCCTTCAACAGAGCTGGAATTTTGCAGAGCTGCTGAAAAATAAGGATCTTTTGCCACTACCTTAAACAAATTACACAGTGTTCTGATGTGTGGTGTGCCAGCGTAGTTAAAGTTGTGGCTTAAGAGGGATGAGAGAGATCTTGGACATGTCTCCATTCCATGTACTGACCCTTCCCTGTTCTGCTTAACTTTAATAACTTTGTCCACAACGTTTTTTTTTTTTTTAAAAAGTCGCATAATAAGGGTTGTCTCTGTACGGCAGGGGTTACATCTCACAAGTTTTGACGGTGATTGCAACCATATGATTGGTCACATAGCTCTGGCTGCCATCTTAACTTTTTTGACCTCTCTAGACCCCACAACATGCCATAAAGTGCATAAATGCAGATTTCTTTCTAGGCAAGTCCTTAAATGTGGTCAAGGCAAACTTGAAACAGATCTAAAAATCCCTATTTCTGTGTACCTTTCCAATTTCCCCCATGTTAATAAATTCAGGATTGCAATACACATCAAACCTCATAGCAACCATACTATCATAGAATTGGTGCTTAACAGTAATTTGAATGTGCTGCAAAGTCTGGATTCAGATCTACTATTATTACTTTACACCGTGGTTTTCACAAAAGGTTCACACCCCGCACAAATCTAAACACACTACAGGACTTGCCTATGAATTCCCATCTTGCTTTGTTCATGTCTTTAGTCAAGTCACAAAAATGGAAATGTAAATGGCTAAAGTCATTAGATACTAGATTAGATAATGCCTAAATGCAAATAGGACTCTCAAAGTACGATTTTGACAAATTAGCCACGTGGCACATGCTTTGCAATTTTTTTAAAAAAATAATTTTTTATTAGTAATTCAAATTAAAAAACAATGGACATGGTTTAACGTCTCTGTTTTTTACCGTTATCGTCAAATTTAAACTAATACATAACATACTTCTTTATCTTTGTACAAATTTACATTACTTCTTGCATGTCAGATATATAAACTAATTTCTTCTAAGCAGCTACATCTATACTCAGTATAATCATATCTTACATACAGATTTAACATACATTGACATGACCATTTCTAGACACTCACTACACCATCTTGGCATTCCTCTTCCTGTCCAACCATTCATAAAATTTAGTCCAGATTTCGTAGTATGCTCAGTTTTATCCTTGAGCTCCAAGGTAAGTCTCCATTTCTGCACAATTGAGGATTTTGATTAGCACGTCTTCCGAGAGGATTTCTTTACTCTTCCATTTTTGGGCAAAGGCTATCCTTGCTGCTGTTAATATATGTAATAATAGGTAGGTTGTGTTCTTGTTGTATTTACCCTCTATAATACCTACAGTAATAGGAAGAATTCGGGTTTAACCTCTATTTTTAATATTAGAATCTCTTCTAGCCAACACCTTATTTGATGCCAAAATTGTTTGGCTTTTGAGCATTCCCACCACATGTGGTAGAAGGTCCCTGGGATCATCTCACATTTCCAACACATTGGAGAGTATTTTTTTTACTTATTCTTGCTAGTCTTGTGGGTGGGAGATGCCACCTACAAAACTTTAATTGCACGCTTTGCAATTTCTTGAACTTCCCCAACTCCAATTCTTCAGGTTTTTCATTGCCAGCGCTAGAAGTTCAAAATGAATCCTACATAGTTCCTACCGAGCCAAGGATAAAAGCAGAAATCATCTCTCAAAAGGTGGAGAACTTCTTCAATCCTCTGAGTAAGTGCACCTTGGAGATTGGCTCGAGGTTACTCCTTCGCTAAACTGTTGGGTTTGTTACTCTGAAACATACACTGTGAAAGATGTTCACAGAGACCATCTGTGTACAGAGAATTCAGGTTTCGGAGCAGAAAATAGATTGATCTATCAGAACTTGCTCTCCTCCTTACTTCTCCCTAGCCCAGTCTCTTGGCCTCTGTCTGTTGAACAGAAAGCACTTCTTCCCTGAATGCCAAATCTCCTTGGATACACACAAGTTTGAAGTGTGTTTTGGAGCCCATCTGAAGATTGGCCTTCCTTCCTTCTTCCCAGCCAACTTGGTTAAGACTGCTGAGAAGATGCTCCTTAACACTGAATGGATAACACTGAAAAGGGAATATCCATGAGCCATGGTGGCGCAGTGGCCAGAGTGCAGTACTGCAGGCTACTTCTGCTGACTGCCAACTGCCTGCAATTTGGCAGTTCAAATCTCACTGGGCTCAAGGTTGACTCAGCCTTCCATCCTTCCGAGGTCGGTAAAATGAGGACCCAGATTGTTGGAGGCAACAGGCTGACTCCGTAAAGCGCTGTGAAGTGGTGTATAAGTCTAAGTGCTATTGCTATTTTCCTTCCTTCCTTCCTTCCTTCCTTCCTTCCTTCCTTCCTTCCTTCCTTCCTCCCTCTCTCCCTTCCCTTCCCTTCCCTTCCCCATACATACATACATACCAGCTCAAGGTTGACTCGGCCTTTCATCAGTGGTGGGATTCAAACATTTTTACTACCGGTTCTGTCGGTGTGGCTTGGTGGGCATGGCAGGGGAAGGATACTGTGAAATCTCCATTCCCTCCCCACTCCAGGGGAAGGTTACTGCAAAATCCCCATTTCCTCCCGATCAGCTGGGACTCGGGAGGCAGAGAATAGATGGGGGCAGGGCCAGTCAGCATTTTTACTACTGTTTCTCCAAACTACTCAAAATTTCCACTACCGGTTCTCCAGAACTGGTCAGAACCTGCTGAAACCCACCTCTGCCTTCCATCCTTCTGAGGTGGGTAAAATGAGGACCCAGATTGTTGGGGGCAATATGCTGACTGTAAACCGCTTAGAGAGGGCTGTAAAGCGGTATATAAGTCTAAGTGCTATTGATATTGATATCCACGGTGGTAAAAGCCAATAGAAGGCAACCGATGAATGGGCTTCTGTTCCCGTGGAATGTTCCAAAGTGAGAATGAAATTCAGATCTCATTCTGCTAAAATTTTGGCAACTGAAATTCATTCGAGCCAGCAACGGATGGCTTTGCCAAGTGAGAATTAATTCAGCCTTTCCCTGTAGAGATACAACTATGCAGCTGCACTTTCTTTTGATGTCCAGTTATCAGGACCCAAAATTACACAAATGCTTCCTTCGCTTCTTGGGTGGGTTGCCTAAAGAAAGCAGCAGATTCCCACTTGCTGCTTAGGAATTCTAGTCTTAAAGCTTGCTCTGTATCTTCTAACCATGTCATGCGTGTTCTTCTCCATGGCATTCTGCTACTCCAACTCGGCTTGTTCAAGGATATATTTTCCAAAACACGTCCTTAACCATTCCAGTTTTGCTCCGTTCTCTCCCATGCAAACCTAACGGAGGAATAATTCCCCACACATTTTTGAGGAAATAGGGGTTTTAAAGTTTACATTTCCCCTCGCACATATGTGCTAGTCGTTCCCGACTCTAGGGGGCGGTGCTCATCTCCATTTCAGAGCCGAAGAGCCAGCGCTGCCCGAAGACGTCTCCGTGGTCATGTGGCCGGCATGACTAAAAGCCAAAGGCGCACAGAACGCTGTTCCCTTCCCACCAAAGGTGGTCCCTATTTTTCTACTTGCAGTTTTTTACGTGCTTTCGAACTGCTAGGTTGGCAGAAGCTGGGACTAGTCACGGGAGCTCACCCCGTTACGCGGCACTAGAGATTCAAACTGCTGAACTGCCGACCTTTCGATCGACAAGCTCAGCGTCTATCCACTGAGCCACCACGTCCCATAATAGGGGTTCACTGGAGGCTAATATATACCTTATTGTCTGGGTTGGATGTGAGAGAGATTCAAACCTTAGAACTGTTGTTGTCTTTCTGAAAGCATGCTGGCCCAGAGGAAATCAGAAAGCGGTGGCTTGCAGAGCTGGAGATCACATCAACCAGACGTTGTGCCTAGAAAACAAATGTTGTGTTTCGTCCAGAAAATTTATTCAATTAGACTGCTATACTCCGTTTGAAGACCGTAAGTGGCGTTTTGTCCCATGTATCCTCTTTAACAACTTTATATCAAGATCACCTGAAGTGTTAATACCACTTTATAAGGCCTTGGTAAGGCCACACTTGGAATAGTGCATCCAGTTTTGGTCCCCACGATGTAAAAAAAGATGCTATTGCTATTTTGTGATGTTTATTTTTAAAGACCTCTCCGGCTTGTCTAAAGTTTACTGTTTCAGCTGTAGATTAAATGCCAGCCATGTTTATCTTGATCAAACCACAACAGGCCCTCAACAGATTTTGAGAATATTTGGTGTTGGCATCGCAGGAATGTTGGCCATTGTCTGTCTCCCATTTTGCTGTTTTGTGGTAGAGAGAAGGTAAGAAAAGGAGGTAAGAAGTATCATAGCAAGTTAAAACACTCCAAAACGTTTCAGCCACCCCACAAGCCACGATACCCTGCAGAAAGGCATCCAAAGATAAGAAGAAACTTTAAACTTCCATGTCCAGGAAACTGGATTTCCTTGTTTTTTTCTTTGAAAACATTTCGCTTCTTGTCCAAGAAGCTTCTTCAGTTCGTCAGTTCTGAAGAAGCTTCTTGGATGAGAAGCGAAATGTTTTCAAAAGAAAAAAAAACCAAGAAAATTCAGTTGTCTTTTGGAAAAAGCACCCGTGGGGACTTCCTTGTAAAAAGTCAGCCGTTCTTCCCTAACCCTGATTGATTGTGGCCATATCCTGCAAAATTTATACCTTTGTTTTCAATGGTGTTGCAGCCCGTGTGCCAATCCTTTGCGTCGTGCCCCCAAAGAAGATGACACTGAAGAAGGAAGTGAGGACAGTGACGAGAGCAGCAGTAGCTAATCTGCAGAATGAATTCAAAGCTACGTTGAATTGTTATGAAAGAGAACTATAAATGTTCATCGTGATATGCCTAAACCGAATGGAGTTATTGATTGATTTCTGGAGAGGGGGATGTGTCCACTGTATATTTTCAGAGCTGAAGTAATAACGGTTTTGTTCTGATCCATCTCTCCGAACACGACAAACCCTCTGAACTTAACTCAAAGATTCCTTTATTAGGAGCGCCGGCAAAAAGTTTCTCTCTCAACACAGACTAACAAGTCCGGCCGGAAGATAAATAATTGTCTGCTACATCTATTCATCTCTGCCCCTTTCTTTTATCCCCAGAGCTAGGGTGGGACTTCTCTAGCAACAGTGCCTCTTCCTTCCCAAGGACCTGCCCATAGATTTCCACTGCTCTCCTCTCCTCTCCTCTCCTCTCCTCTCCTCTCCTCTCCTCTCCTCTGCCTTCTGCGCATCCACATGGCAGGCACTGGACCCAGCTGTTCCTCCTCTTCCTCATCAGCCACCTCCAGACCTGGGGGCTGTTCACTCTCCATCTGAGGGCTGACGGACGGTCTAGGCTCCACCTCTGTCTCTCTCTCTCTCTGCCAGCTCCATTCCCTCTTCCCCCCCGGAGCTCTCAGGTTGCCTTGATGCTGGCCCTGAGTCCCACGCTGCCTCCTCATTGTCAGGTTCCAGTCTAATAGGACACAAGCAAACTAGGTTTGTTGCTGCCTTTTCTTTATTTCTGGCACTCACTGACAATCCAAGAAGGAACTATTATCAGGGCTAACAGCCCGTGCTTCCCACCACCTTTTATATGTTAATCCCCTTTTAACCTTCACCCAATCATACGTGTCTGCCCCATGCAATGCCCCTATCTACATCCCGTCACATGCCACTCGCAGGCGAGCCACCCACTGTGCTGTTCATCAGTCCTGGCAGGAAAGTTCAGTCTGAAGGCAGAGAGGGCGACAGTAGCTTTACCCCATCGTGCTGATCTGCCTGATGATGTCATCGGTGCGTGGCCGCCTCTCAGCTGTGCAGTGGCCATGTTACAGCCCCGTGGAGTGGAGGGATGGGTTCGGGCGATTCCGTGGCTTCCCCAGGCAGTCGGTCATGCCACGCAGAAATGTTCAGCCGTCCCGGGACTTCGGAAGGTGGGCGGTCGCCTGTCCTCTGAATGGCAGCCCCAGGCCGGTTGGCACGCTGGGGCTGACAGTCATCTGATTCGGCTGCTGGAGGGGCCGGCGGCTGAGAGGCCATAACAGGTGTTGTCTAATCCAACCAGATGAAGCAGCTCCTTGGATGAGAGGTGAAACATCTTCAAAGAAAAACCAGAAAGTCCATTTGCCTCTTGTGATCCTAACCACAATGATACCCAAATGAAAGAAGGCGCAACCCAAACCCTAACCCTAAAATTTAAGTTCAAACATGGCATGTTTGATGTTTGAATAAAGATAAACAATGGCACATTAATCATAATATGGTTTATTTCAGGGTGGATTTGATTTAAATTGAGCCAATTTAAATCATGATTTAAATCACTAGTAAAAAGGCTTGATTTAAATCAACTCGATTTAAATCATAATTTTTAAAGAGCAACTGTCATCTCTGCTACTCCTTTGACCCACTGTTGACTCACCGATAGTCCCAATGTTGCAGAATATACAGCCTCGTGCTACATAACTAAGCTCCATTTCATGCTGAATAAACTAAATTATTTATGTATCTTAAATAGAAAACTATCTTACGATAGATTTTTACCCCAAAAGTTTTTTATTAAAATAAATTCAATAAAAATCAAAAAAATCTGATTTAAATCAAAAAAATCTGATTTTTTTTTATTTTTTTTAAAAAAAATCATTGATTTTTATCCACCCTGGTTTATTTGGCTTTGGCTGAATGTATTGTGGTTCGCAAACCACGGTTTGTGATGTTTGAAGCTCACAAGTTGCAGGAGCTTTTTGAAGCGATCATGGCATCATGGATGCGCAAACTCCCTAATTTTTATAACCTTGTCCTTAAGGTGCCAAGATACACAAGATAGCTTTGGGGTTTTGCCAAATGCTTTTTGCGGATTTGGGAAAGTTTTCAGAATTTTGATATCATAGCCACAAGATGGTGGTATAAGCAAATCATCCTAGTCTCTTTGAACAGCAGCGAATGCAGATTCCCTTCTGAGCTTTATCGTTTTGAAATTATTTTCTTTCGGATCTTGGTATGTCGATCCCTGAAAGGGGCTGTGCAGCAAACTTGGATTCTGTCATAGTACACAATGGCCTACAATGGCAAAATGTCATCATTTGTGGTTGTTGAGAAATGGGCTAACCGAAGCCATAAAAATAATCGGGGGTCTGGAGGCAAAGCCATACGATGAAAGGTTAATGGAACTAGGTATGTTTAGACTAAAAGAGAGAAGGCTTAGGGCAGTGGGTCTCAACCTTCCTAATGCCGCGACCCTTTAATACAGTTCCTCATGTTGTGGTGATCCCCAACCATAAAATTATTCCATTGACCATTGAAAATATGTGTTTTCGGATGGTCTTAGGCGACCCCTGTGAAAGGGTCGTTCGACCCCCAAAGGGGTCCCAACCCACAGGTTGAGAACCACTGGCTTAGGGGGTGACATGACAGCTGATATGATTTACCTGATCCTCTAGTAATGGGATATTAGAGAGGTGAAATGGTGTGAGTCCATTGATCCTGAAGATCTGAAGTTCTTAGGACTCATTCTCATGATTCAAGAACATTACTACTACGACCACCACCACTACTACTACTACTACTACTAATAATAATAATAATAATAATAATAAATGGTCTCCCTGCTGGTATAAAGGGAGCAGGCATCAAATCCTGACTAAGAAATGAATATGCAAGATGGAAAACCTGTGAGCACGCAAGTTAATTTGGGTATTTGCAAGTAAGATCTACTCAAGAGTAAGGGCATGTTCAAGAGTAGCCATTCCTTGCATATAAATCTCTAATGGCTTGCAGCTGTGACTCTGAAAACATTAAATATATTCACTTAGCAAAAGATCCAAACTGAAAAACATCTGGCCTTAGAGCTTGGCTGTTTTATGTTTGCACGTTTGTGATCGTGATTTCTTATCCATAACCTGGTATTGTTGGTTTAGTTCTGTTCTTTGTTCCGACCGTTCCCTGGGATTACTTCCATCATTAATTTACGGTAGGGCTGATTTTTTTTTTACCATTCCTGGAAAATGCATTTTGGAGAGTTTCTAAGTTTTGCTGTTTGATTTGTCAACCTGAAGGACTCTACAGGAGGAAAAAGGTCTATAGCAGTGAATTAGTTCCACAGGTGCTTCCCATTAAAACTGACAGATCCAGATAAGTGCAACTGTTGTGAGAGGCATCCATCTTTCATAGCAAATAAATGCGGTGTCCATAATGATGCATTAAATATACCTACTGCCTGGTTCCCATGACTCTGGGTGTTTTACAAATTGTTAAAAACATCTAAAAACAAAGAACAACTCAAAACGTATAAGAGCAAGATGAAACATCTATGACAGAAAATTGTAGAGGAAGAAGAAGAAAAGAAAAGAATCAGAATCAGAAGAATTAGAATAATAATAGAAAAGGAGGAGGAGGAGGAGAGGAAGAGGAAGAGGAGGAAAAAGAAGAGGAAGAGGAGGAAGAGGAGGAGGAAGAAGAAGAAGAGGAAGGAGGAGGAGGAAGAGGAGAAGAAGAAGAAAAGAAGAAGGAGAAGGAGAAGAAAAGAAGAGGAAGAGGAAGAAGAAGAGGAAGAGGAGGAGGAAGGAGGAGGAGGAGGAGAAGAAAAAGAAGAAGAAGAACAGAAGAAGAAGAGGAGGAGGAGGAGGAAGAGGAAGAAGGAGGAGGAAGAGGAAGAGGAAGAAGGAGGAGGAGGATAAGAAGAAGAAGAAGAACAAGAACAAGAAGAAGAAGAAGAAGAAAGAAGAAAGAAGAAAGAAGAAAGAAGAAGAAAGTAGCTGGATACAGTTTGCACTCCAAACATGCCAGAATGTAGGTTATCCTATATTCTGGACCAACAAGAAGAAGAAGACCAAGAACAACAAGAACAATAAGAAAAACAACAAGAAGAATATTATCATCATCATCAATCATCCCGGTCAAAGAACCAAATCTTCAAGACCCTCCAAAACTCCACTAGGAGTAGCTGGATCTCCAGGAGAACTTTGTTCCACAGGACAGGCGTTGCTATAGAGAAGACACACTTCCGGGTCCCGATAGATGGCATTGCTTAGTCAAAGGAACCTAGAACATGTCAACTCTGCCAGATTGGACAGCAGGGGCTATGGGCTACGGTCAGGGTTTGGGGGGGGGGGGTTGCCGCCATACATCGTTGATTTATCAAAGGTAAGATAGTTAGATGTAGTGAAAATTGGAGGCACACTGAGAACATATTTCCTGTTTTAATTTTGCGGTCTTAAAAAAATAAATAAAATGCATAATTCTGTTGCTCATTTAAAGCAGGTAAACATCAACAGCAGACACACAAATTAGATATGTCTGGGTTGCATTGGTTCATTTAGCTGACTTAGGGGAGAGCCGAGATAATTATACAACCTTACCTGAATCCTAAGCGATGGTGGGATTGATGGGCAGATGGTTAGTTTAGCAGGTATTAGTACAGGATGCTGTGAGATGAGCTCAGAGCTCAACTCTGGGTGACTTTATCCATGTTGCTTTCTTGGCAAGAGTACAGAGGTGGTTTTCCATGGCTTTCTTCCTAGATACGCTTTTCTTTTTCAATTTGGCAGTCTAATCTTCGGCCCTAGGATTCCCTGATGTTCTTTGAGCACTACGCAAGTCCAACCCTGTTTAGCTTTTGATCCAGAGGTGCTATTTAGCAGGTTCTGACCAGTTTTGGAGAAATGTAGCGGAACTTTTGAGTAGTTCAGAGAACTGGTAAATACTACCTCTGACTGGCCCCACCCTCATCTATTCTCTGCCTCCCGAGTCCCAGCTGAACGGGAGGAAATGGGGATTTTACAGTATCCTTCCCCTGGAATGGGGAGGAAATGGGGATTTTGCAGTAACCTTCCCCTGGAATGGGGAGGGAATGGGGATTTTATAGTATCTTT